GTCTGTAGTGTTAACACACAATCTCATCAGGCTAGGAGGTATTAGTGTTAACACACAATGTCATCAGGCCGGGAGGTATTGTCTGTAGTGTAAACACAATGGCATCAGGCCAGGAGGTATTGTCTGTAGTGTTAACACACAATCTCATCAGGCTAGGAGGTATAAGTGTTAACACACAATGTCATCAGGCTGGGAGGTATTGTCTGTAGTGTAAACACAATGGCATCAGGCCAGGAGGTATTGTCTGTAGTGTAAACACACAATGTCATCAGCCAGGGGGTATTGTTTGTAGTGTTAACACACATTGTCATCAGGCCAGGAGGTATTGTCTGTAATGTTAACACACAATGCCATCAGGCCATGGGGGTATTGTCTATAGTGTTAACACACAATGTCATCAGGCCAGGAGGTATTGTCTGTAGTGTTATCCCACAATGTCATCAGGCCAGGAGGTATTTTCTGTAGTGTTAACACACAATATCATCAGGCCAGGATGTATAGTCTGTAGTGTTAATTAACAATGCCATCAGGCCAGGAGATATTGTCTGTAGTGTTAACACACAATGTCATCCGGCCAGGAGGTATTGTCTGTAGTGTAAACACACTATGTCATCAGCCAGGGGGTATTGTTTGTAGTGTTAACACACATTATCATCAGGCCAGGAGGTATTGTCTGTAGTGTTAACACACAATGCCATCAGGCCAGGAGGTATGGTCTGTAGTGTTAACACACAATGCCATCAGGCCAGGAGGTATTGTCTGTAGTGTTAACACAATGTCATCAGACCAGGGAGGTATTATCTGTAATGTCAACACACAATGTCATCAGGCCAGGAGGTATTGTCTGTGGTGTAAGTGCAATGTAATCAGGCCAGGAGGTATTGTCTGTAGTGTTAACACACAATGTCATCAGGCCATATAACTAAAACAAATTGTATTTGCAGTTCCAGACATGGTATGAGACACCAGAAACTGTAGACTGTTCTTCCCCCTCAGAGCAGGAATGGCAACAGAAGATCTTCCAGGAGTATCACTATGAGTGTGAACAGGAGGGTGTTAAAATCAAGGTCTCTGGTAAGTTTGTATGAGAAGGTACCAAGTCTCTAGTAGGTTTATATGAGTAAGAGAATGTCAAATCAAGGTCACAGGTAAGTTTGTATGAGGAGGTACCAAGTCTCTAGTAGGTTTATACAAGTATGTCAAATCCAGATCTCTGTGAATTTTTATGAGGAGAGTGGAAAACTTCAGGTCATTTATGAGTTTTTATGAGCTTGGAGGAGGAAAAAACAAGGTCTCCTTCGAGCTCATTTTGATTCGACAATTTTTGCAAAAGTTATTGCCCTTTGTTCATTTCAGTATTTGATTTTTTTTATCCAGAGATTTTCTCCTACATTTTTAGCTCACCTAGTCCGTCATCCGCCCATCAATCGATCAACTTTTCCTTTAAAACACTACTTTGCCTAAACGGCCAAGTAGATTTTGACCAAACTTGGTCAGAAGCATCCTTGGGGGAAGGGTAACAAATTTTGTATAAATGGTGGGTCTGGCCCCCCTCGGGGCTGAGGGATGGGGCCCAATAGGGGAAACATAGCAAATTCTTTAAAATCCTTCTTCTTCTGTAGGAATGAAAGGATTTGTTCCATATTTTGTCTGAAGTATCCTTGGGTAAAGGGGAACCAATTTGTATAAACCGTGGGTCTGGCCCCCTAGGGGCCTGAGGGGCGGGGCCCAATAGGGGAAACATAGCACATTCTTTAAAATCCTTCTTCTTCTGTAGGAATAAAAGGATTTGCTCCATATTTGGGCTGACGCATTCTTGGGTGAAGGCGAACAAATAATGTATAAATGGTGGGTGAGCCCCCCCTGGGGGCTGAGGGGCGGGGCCCAATAGTGGAAATGTAGCAAATTCTTTAAAATCCTTCTTCTTCTGTAGGAATGAAAGGATTTGTTCCATATTTGGTCTGAAGCATCTTTGGCTAAAGGAACTCAATTTTGTATAAACTGTGCGTCTGGCCCCTCAGGGACCTGAGCCAGGTGTGCCCCCCCCCCCGGGGGCAGAAGAGAGGAGGGGCCCAATTGGGGAAACATTTTGTCCAAATTTGGTATGAAGCATCCTTGGGTGTAGGGGAACCAATTTTGTATAAACGGTGTGTCTGACCCCCCTGGAGGCAGAGAGATGGGGCCCTTTAGGGGAAATAGAGGTAAAACCTTTAAAATCCTTCTTCTGTACGAATGACTGGATTTTATCCTTATTTAGACAGGAGCATCCTTGGGTCAAGGGGACTCAATTTTGTATAAACGGTGGGTATGACCCCACTAGGGGCATAGAGGTGGGGCTCTGTTTGAAGTTTGTTCTCGCTATATTTCAAGTACTGGATGGATCTTTCTGAAATTTCATATGTACTTACAGCACCTTCCATGGAGTGCTATATCTTTACTTCATACCGATTATTTTAAACATATTCAGGTGAGCGATACAGGCTCTCTGGGCCTCTTGTTATAGCATGTCAACTAACCACTCTTTGAAAGATGCAGATCTTATTTCAATGTAAGAAAGTATATAACACTATATGGCATTTGACGGGAGTATATTGTTCCGCCCCGCGGTACTCTTGTTATATCGTGTTACTGTCTAAATCAAGAAGCTGTGTTGATTATTACTTTACAGAATACTTTGAAGGAGATTTTAATGAGGAGACCTATGATGAATGGTGCGAGAGGATGGCCAGGGAGGTCCACAACAAACGTAAATATAGCAACACAGGTCAAAGGTCAAAAGAGGAGCCAAAAAATAAGAAAACTTCTGCAGAGGACGATTTGGAAAAAGCTCGTGAAAAGATGAAACAGAAATATGATGATGAGCAGAGGAGAATAAAAGAATTACGAGTTCGACGGAAAAAACAAGACTATGAGGAAAACATAAAGAGTTTGCTTTCAAGCAAAGATGTAACTCCTTTAGGTTTTAATGACATTCCCTGGCCTTTTGAGTCAGAAGTAACAGATATCAGTAAGCGACTATTCTGTGACATATCACCCTCAGATAAGGAGACATACCGAAAGTATCTACGAGAACAACAGATTAGATGGCATCCAGACAAGTTTCTCCAAAAACTCGGACACCGAATAAAAGAAGAAGAAAAAGACTGCATTTTAGAAAGAGTTAAGGAGATATCACAGGAACTCAACAAGCTGTTTGATTCATCTTAACAGTGCAAATATGTAGTGTTCTTAGAGTACAGATATGTAGCTGCATCAAAAGTAGTGTAGACACATTTGAATAAATTCTGTAACACATCTTAACATAACAGTTCTGTAGACACCTCTTAACTGTACATTTCTGTAGACACATCTTAACTGTACAGTTATGTAGACACATCTTAACGTTACATTTCTGTAGACACATCTTAACTGTACAGTTCTGTAGACACATCTTAACAGTACAGTTCTGTAGACACATCTTAACTGTGCAGTTCTGTAGACACATCTTAACAGTACAATTATGTAGATAGACACCTCTTAACTGTACATTTCTGTAGACACATCTTAACAGTACAGTTCTGTAGACACATCTTAACAGTACAATTATGTAGACACATCTCAACGGTGCAGTTCTATAGACATATTTTGACAGTACAGTTCTGTAGACACATCTTAACTGTACAGTTCTGTAGACACATCTTAACAGTAGTTCTATAGACATATCTTAACGGCACAGTTCTGTAGACTCATCTTTTCAGTACAGTTCTGTAGACTCATCTTGACAGTACAGTTCTGTAGAAACATCTTAACTGTACAGTTCTGTAGACACATCTTACCTGTACAGTTCTGTAGAAACATCTTAACAGTACAGTTCTGTAGAAACATCTTAACAGTACAGTTCTGTAGACATATCTTGACATAACAGTTCTGTAGACGTATCTTAACAGTACAGTTCTGTAGACTCATCTAAACGGTACAGTTCTGTAGACATATCTTACCTGTACAGTTCTGTAGAAACATCTTAACAGTACAGTTCTGTAGACACATCTTAACGGTACAGTTCTGTAGACATATCTTGACATAACAGTTCTGTAGACGTATCTTAACAGTACAGTTCTGTAGACTCATCTAAACGGTACAGTTCTGTAGACATATCTTACCTGTACAGTTCTGTAGAAACATCTTAACAGTACAGTTCTGTAGAAACATCTTAACGGTACAGTTCTGTAGACATATCTTGACATAACAGTTCTGTAGACATATCTTAACCGTACAGTTATGTTGACATATATTAACAGTACAATTATGTAGACACATCTAAACGGTACAGTTCTGTAGACATATCTTGACATAACAGTTCTGTAGACATATCTTAACATAACAGTTCTGTAGACATATCTTGACATAACAGTTCTGTAGACACATCTTACCTTACAGTTCTGTAGACACATCTTAACCGTACAGTTCTGTAGACACATTTTAACAGTACAGTTCTGTAGACTCATCTTAACGGTGCAGTTCTATAGACATATTTTGACAGTACAGTTCTGTAGACACATCTTGACATAACAGTTCTGTAGACACATCTTGACATAACAGTTCTGTAGACACATCTTGACATAACAGTTCTGTAGAAACATCTTTTCAGTACAGTTCTGAAGATGCATCTTAACAGTACAGTTATGTAGACACATCTTGACAGTACAGTTCTGTAGACATATCTTGACAGTACAGTTCTGTAGACACATCTTGACAGTACAGTTCTGTAGACTCATCTTTTCAGTACAGTTCTGAAGATGCATCTTAACAGTACAGTTCTGTAGACACATCTTAACAGTACAGTTCTGTAGACACATCTTGACAGTACAGTTCTGTAGACACATCTTACCTGTACAGTTCTGTAGACACATCTTGACAGTACAGTTCTGTAGACACATATTAACTGTACAGTTCTGTAGACACATCTTGACAGTACAGTTCTGTAGACACATCTTAACAGTACAATTATGTAGACACATCTCAACGGTGCAGTTCTATAGACATATTTTGACAGTACAGTTCTGTAGACACATCTTAACTGTACAGTTCTGTAGACACATCTTAACAGTAGTTCTATAGACATATCTTAACGGCACAGTTCTGTAGACTCATCTTTTCAGTACAGTTCTGTAGACTCATCTTGACAGTACAGTTCTGTAGAAACATCTTAACTGTACAGTTCTGTAGACACATCTTACCTGTACAGTTCTGTAGAAACATCTTAACAGTACAGTTCTGTAGAAACATCTTAACAGTACAGTTCTGTAGACATATCTTGACATAACAGTTATGTTGACATATATTAACAGTACAATTATGTAGACACATCTAAACGGTACAGTTCTGTAGACATATCTTGACATAACAGTTCTGTAGACATATCTTAACATAACAGTTCTGTAGACATATCTTGACATAACAGTTCTGTAGACACATCTTACCTGTACAGTTCTGTAGACATATCTTGACATAACAGTTCTGTAGACGTATCTTAACAGTACAGTTCTGTAGACTCATCTTAACGGTGCAGTTCTATAGACATATTTTGACAGTACAGTTCTGTAGACACATCTTGACAGTACAGTTCTGTAGACATATCTTGACAGTACAGTTCTGTAGACCCATCTTGACAGTACAGTTCTGTAGACATATCTCGACAGTACAGTTCTGTAGACACATCTTGACATAACAGTTCTGTAGAAACATCTTTTCAGTACAGTTCTGAAGATGCATCTTAACAGTACAGTTATGTAGACACATCTTGACAGTACAGTTCTGTAGACATATCTTGACAGTACAGTTCTGTAGACACATCTTGACAGTACAGTTCTGTAGACTCATCTTTTCAGTACAGTTCTGAAGATGCATCTTAACAGTACAGTTCTGTAGACACATCTTAACAGTACAGTTCTGTAGACACATCTTGACAGTACAGTTCTGTAGACACATCTTACCAGTACAGTTCTGTAGACACATCTTGACAGTACAGTTCTGTAGACACATATTAACTGTACAGTTCTGTAGACACATCTTGACAGTACAGTTCTGTAGACACATCTTAACGGTACACATCTTAACAGTACAGTTCTGTAGACATATCTTAACATAACAGTTCTGTAGTCATATCTTAACATAACAGTTCTGTAGACATATCTTAACATAACAGTTCTGTAGACACATCTTAACAGTACAGTTCTGTAGACACATCTTGACAGTAATATTCTGTAACACACCTTGACTGTAGTTCTGTAGAAACATCTTGACAGTACAATTCTGTCGACACATTGATCAATAAAAGTTCAGCAGCAGACAATACAGTTCCGTAGATACATCTTAATAGTAAGTTCTGTAGACGTCTTACTGTAAGTTCTGTAGACATATCTGAACAGTACAGTTCTGTTGACTCATCTTAACAGTACAGTTATTTAGACACATTGAACAATACAGTTCAGCAGCAGACAGGACAATTCCATAGATACATCTTAACAGTACAGTTCTGTAGACATATCTTGACATTACAGTTCTGTAAACACATCTTACCTGTACAGTTCTGTAGACACATCTTAACAGTACAATTCTGTAGACACACTTAAGTATTACATACTCAATCCGTACTGTAGACATACCATTCTACTTTAGACATACCAATTTACTTTAGACATACCAATCTACTTTAGACATACCAATCTACTTTAGACATACCAATCTACGGTAGACATACCAACCTACGGTAGACATACCAACCTACGGTAGACATACCAATCTACGGTAGACATACCAATCTACGGTAGACATACCAATCTACAGTAGACACACCAACCTACGGTAGACACACCAACCTACGGTAGACATACCAATCTACGGTAGACATACCAATCTACGGAAGACACACCAATCTACGGTAGACACACAAATCTACAGTTGACACACCAATATACAGTAGAAATACCAATCTACTGTAGACATACCAATCTACAGTTGACATACCAATCTACGGTAGACATACCAATCTACAGTTGACACACCAATCTACAGTTGACACACCTATCTACGATAGACACACAAATCTACGGTAGACACATCAATCTACGGTAGACACCAATCTACAGAAGACACACCAATCTACAGTTGACACACCAATCTACAGTAGACACACCAATCTACAGTTGACACACCAATCTAGGGTAGACACACCAATCTACAGTAGACACACCAATCTACGGTAGACATACCAATCAACGGTAGACATACCAATCTACGGTAGACATACCAATCTCAGTAGACACACCAATCTACAGTAGACACACTAATCTACAGTAGACACACCAATCTACAGTTGACACACCAATCTACAGTTGCAACATCAATCTACAGTTGACACACCAATCTACAGTAGACACACCAATCTACAGTAGACATACCAATCTACAGTAGACATACCAATCTACTGTAGACATACCAATCTACAGTAGACACACCAATCTACAGTAGACATACCAATCTACAGTTGACACACCAATCTACGGTTGACACACCAATCTACGGAAGACACACCAATCTACGGTAGACACACAAATCTACAGTTGACACACCAATCTACAGTAGACATACCAATCTACAGTAGACACACCAATCTATAGTAGACACAACAATTTACAGTAGACACAACAATCTACAGTAGACATACCAATCTACAGTAGACACACCAATCTACAGTTGCAACATCAATCTACAGTTGACACACCAATCTACAGTAGACATACCAATCTACAGTAGACACA